CATCCCTCCCTCTGCGTCTCTGGCTCCATCTGTTGCAGCTCTCCCTGGTTCACTCGTGCCGGCCACGCCTCATGCGTACTGGGCATGCCTCCCCCAGGGCCTTTGCATGTCCTCCCTTGGCCTGGAACTCTTCTTCCTACTGTCTGTAGGACTTGTTCTCTCACCTCCTTCTCGTCTTGGCCACTTGGCGCCTTCATTACCTCCTGTTTGTCCTTGCCGCCCCCTGACTTACACTTCTGGCTCTTCCCTACTTAGCCTTTAGTATCTTCTAGTGTCCAGGCCATTACTAACTAAAGTGCTGTTGCCCGTGTACCCCCCCAGAATGGAGGTTCCATGAGAGCAGGGACTTCTGTCTCTGTTGTTCACTGTGACGTCCTCAGTGCCTGGGACAGTGCCACATTCTCAGGAGTCACTTCTTGAGCAAATGAACCAATTGTATGAGACGCTTTTCTTTTTAGTGGAATTGTGACTTGCTTAGGATCAGCTGTTAGTAATTTTTCACTTTCTATCCAAGGATTGCCAGAGCTCAGTAAGTGTCAAATGAGCGAATAGAACCTGAAATACTACATGCTCACATTTCGCATGATCAGGTTCCAGAAATTTCAGTTGCTAAATGGAACAATTTTTAACATGATGGGGGGTGGGGGCAGGGGAGATGTGTGGAAGGATAGTTTCGCTTCATTTAGCTGGGCGTCCACTTTGGGCTTCAGCATTCGCATAGCAGTTTGGCAATTCTTTCATCATTATTACGATTATTAATTGGATGCTATTTAAAAATTTGGCCCTAAACGCTCAGCTGATGTTTTGGAAGATTATACTATACAGGGAGCAGAAATGGTTGGGGCTGACTGTAGCTATTCATGGCCAAGTAAGGAATAGCACTGGCTAGAAGCACAGGGTGGATTCCGTTGTGACTTGTGGGAGTCCTGGTGGCGATGGTCCTGTACGGCTGCCAGGGCCCCCTTCCACAAACACGGGCTTGATGTGGCTACCTGGTGGTGCTTTATATCAATAGGCAACCTTGAGGAATTTAACTTTGTAGGGGGCTTTATGAGAGGAAGGGAAGAACAAAGTAAAGAAATCAGTCTTTATTTGGGAGCATTTATTTGAGAAACCCCTCTGAAGTTTGCTTTTGGTTTTTGTTTTTGTTTTTTGGTATCATTGTTATCTCTTCCCGGGGATGCAGATGTCTTGAAAGAATGCATGCAGGAAAATAGGCTGTAGGAGGCAGACATGGATTCTTGAAAGTTTAACAAGCTTCGGAAGGACAGGGCTGCTCCAGAAATCTGGGCTGTTACCACATCCTTCAGGCTGAGATTTGGGAGAACCCACTACGGTGTTGTCTGCTACCACCATTGATGTGGTTTGTGGATGGCACAACTGATGGACTAGGTTCTTATTTATATTTTAGGTGGGGCTTTCTTAGGAAGTTCAGCCTGTAGGGAAATACGGTATCTGAAAAACATCAGCGGCAGATTATACCTTTGCTTAACTTTAGGGTTCAAACAATCCATAGAAAATGGTTTCAGATTTCCTAGCTTGTGAAAAACCTGGGCAGCCCTTATTTGCAAATATAGTGTCTAAGGGGTCAAAAGAAAGTTCAAACAAAATGAAAGCCTAGAGAACAAGGCTATACACATACATAGCCAAAACCTCACCCATGTGACATGCCCTGCGGCCACGGCATGGTGTCAGTTGGCAGGATGTTAACATCAGAGGCACATCCGTTTTCCTAGCTCTGCCTATAAGTGCCAGAGAAGTATGTTGGGTCTGTGGTCTGGGGTAGGAAGGTCAGTGAGAAGAAACCTCAGAGACAAGGCCTCTTTGGTTTTAAACTGTCTTATCTGTGTTTGCACTTATTTCTGTCTCTGTTAAAGAAGACAACTGATAGGATAATCAAGACAGAGAACTCGGTGTCCAGAGGTGAAAGCGAATGAGAAACAAAAATATTTTCTCCCGTGAGTTTAGTGATGGGACCCAGGAAATCTGACCCCATGGAGCTCTAAAGAAAACCCTTCCCACACGTTTGCTACATGGAAGAGGTTACAGTAGTTACCTAGCAGCACAGTTTCTGGAGTGAATCCTTCACTTTCAAAAATTAGTTACAATGTTTATCTCCAAAAAGTAAAAGATGTCTTTTCAGCAGATTTTCTGTGATGAGCAAAAGAAAGACACTACTGTGTCCTACTTTTTTTCCCCCTCATTGTCTTTTATATTTTTGACAAGAGCCTCACTTCAAACAATGTGGGTCTGCATTAATTCTAAACTCATAATATTCACTCTTATCCAGCGCATATCATCATTAAGCCTCCTTTTTTCTGTTTTTTTCCTACTGTTGCCTAAAGTTTGTGACTCTGTTTTCTTGAGGTTGGATGGGGAGAGGATAAGGAGAGACTATGTTACAAAAATCAGTCACGTTGCATTCAGTGGCCCCTCCTGCTCTGTCATTTCCCCATCTATCCACCCATTTATCCCCCCCCCTTGAACCCTCTGATATTCATTGACCATCTGCTAGGCACCAGGCATTATATTGGGCTGTGGATCTAGGACAGAATAAACTAGGATCCCTCCCCCATGAAGGAGACCAAATAATAGGCACTTACAGTGAGAACATGTTAAAATAGGTCCTTTCTATCACAGGAGTATCTTGCAACCTGTTTTGGGGGCTTTCGGGGTAAGTTTCCAGGAAGAAGCGCTATCTCAGCTGACACATGACAGATGAATTGAAGTTAGCTGGGTGAACTCTGTGTGTTTGGGTTCCCACGTGGGAATGAGTTGGAGTTTCTAGCAGAATAAACTCCATGTTCTAGAGGTCACACTTTTTGTGAGGGTTGTGTTTCTGAAGCCCTTGCAAATTCAGGACTCCCATAACTCAAGAATAATTCTGACAGAAAATGGTGGTAGGTCTTTATTTTCCTTTAGCAGCTAATATGGCGCCACCCTGTGGCCACTCTGTACAGAGAGTTTAGAGTTCCTTCTACCCAGTCAACCTCGAAACTGTAATTCTTGAAGAATTTTAATATTAATTCAAATTAAGGGACGGAATATAATGCATTATATTATATTCTTTTAAAGCCACATAATTCAAGGTCATAAGAAATAGGACCAAATGCTGGGGAGTTTCAGAGCTCATGGCCCATTTGATGCAACCGGAGTGCTTCAGCATGGATAGCATGTACACCTGGGATCGGCAGATGGGAGGAAGCGTGGGGGAGAGGAAAGGGAGGAGAATTCAGGGCCCTGATCGTCAGAGGCTTGTGAACCATGGTTAGAAGATGGCATTGTGGGAGCCTCTGAAGAATGTGAAGGAGGCAATGGCAAAGTCAGCATTAGGTTTTTGTTCAAGTTTTAATAGCTGAGAGAGATGAAATTAGACTAAGGCTGTGTATTTGTGGGACATTTCTCTTCGTGTCTAATTAGACTTTGGTTATTAACAATAAAAGCTTTTGTGATTTCAAACTGCTTCTAAGGTTTTTGTTTTGTTTGTTTATTTCTGAAGGGCTCATTGACTGTCTTGGAAGAGACCATAGATGCCTGGCCTAATAGCAAGGAGGTTGGATGGAGGCTCAGCCCAGACTTGGGATCTAAGGCTGGGGGAGGGTTTGATTGGTGAATCGTATTTGGGGTCTTTGGCAAAAGAGGTCGGGAAAACACGAGTTAGACAAAATTAAGTAGATTCCTTTACTGTGGGACTTCTTAGAGCCTTAAAAGCAATAATGTGTGTTAGGAATACACATTATTTAAGATAAATTTAAGATACATTGAAGGCATGCAGCATGCCACAGACTTGTTTCCCTGCTAAGGAACTTTTGCTCTGGAAGTAGTCGTTATAGTCTAGCTGGGATCTATTACCACAATAATGCTGTGTAACAAGTAACTACAAGACCTCAGTGGAATACAGTAATAAAAACTTATTTAGCTTATAAATTTCGGCAGGGATGGGGGTTTCGGCTGATGTTAATCTGGGATTGGCTGATTTCAGCTGATCTCACTGACATGTCTGTGATCAGCTGTGAATTGGGCAGGTAGCTTTTCTCATCTTAGCTGGGTTCACTCACTTGTCTGGGGGCTCAGCGGGCTCTTGGCTTTAGCTAGGAAGACTAGGGTGAGTGGTCTCTGCTATGTACGTCTCTCAATCTGAAGCGTGCTAACCTAGCATTTCTGCTGGCCATGACAAAGGGGCAAGAATGAGGGTAAGCCCAATAATACATGCACTTAAAAGTATTTGCTTGTATCACATTTGCTAATATCTGATTGGCCAAAGGAAGTCACATGGTCAGTCCCAGAGTGGGAGCACACTATAAGATAACATGGCAGAGGTTGTAGATACAGGCAGGGAGAAGACTAGGGCTCTTTCTGTGGTCAGTCTGCCCTAGAACCCAACTTGAGAATTGCTGGGTGAGACCACAGTCAACTGAGCAAGGAATGAAGTCGAGCTTTTCTCTATACAGTGGACACTGACTGTCTTTTTAATTCTGATAAGCAACCTTTCAAGTAGATGTAGAGAGAGCGTTCATCTGGTTCTGCACAGGACTTTCCTTTCTAAAGAATCATTTTAAGGCTGACAGGATTGTGGACATCAGCTAGTTATGGTGGCATCATGTTGGAAATGAAGTAATAGAGGCCCAGAGAGGTTCATTGACCAGCTTAAATCCACACAGCTACCTAGAAAAGAAGCTAAGCCTCCAGCTGAGATCCTGTCTCAAGCCACTTGGGTTTTGTTAGGGTAGGGGCATGGGAAAGACGAAAACATATTCATGATCTTTATGTTAACGGATCACATTCCTTCTGGAGGGACTATAATGTCAATTTTTAAAACAGATATTCAGTGTCTTTGGAAGAGCGAAAGCACTGAGTGGTTGCTGAATACTGACAGAGATCCCTTTCTGGGGGGGCGGGGGTAGGGGGAGGGGTTTGAAGCAGGAAGTACCCTCAGCTGGGTAAGTCATTTTCTTATCAGAGCCTTCATCATCATAACTATAAACATTAGAAAAGGAAAACAGAATATGGAAGGCTTCACGAATTTGTATGTCATCCTGGCACAGGGGTCAGGTTAATCTTTGTTTCATTCCAATTTTAGTATCTGTACAGCAGAAGCCAGTACTGACTGGGGGACTCTTGGTAATATGTTTTTGTTTTTGGAGTTTTTCTCTCATCCATCTGCTCCCTGCCCACCTCCAAGAATTTCTGCTGCATAAGGGCCATCAGCAGAGGACGCCTGAGAAGAGGGTCAGAATTCGTGTCCTCGCCCTTTGTCAGACAGCAGATAACATCGTGAAGGCAGATCTGGCCAGAGCACAGCTGCATCAACACCTTATTTAGCCGACTGGTGGGGAACTATATCTTCTGCAGAAGTAACATTTTTTCTTTTAATAACACTTTTTTTTTTCTCTTTATTGATTTTAGAGAGAGAGAAAGGAAGAGGGAGAGAGAGATAGAAACATCGATGAGAAAGAACATGGATTGGCCACCTCCTGCATGCCCCCCAGCGGGAATCGGGCCCACAAACCTGGGCATGTGCCCTGACTGGGAATCGAAATGGCGACCTCTTGGTGCATGGGTTGACGGTCAACCAGTGAGCCACACCGGTCGGGCCAGAAGTAACATTTTGATTTTGAAAATCTACTAAACTCTATCCAATAAACTCACTTTCTACCATGGGATGACTTCTAGGGCATTCCCCTGATTTACTAAACAGAGAATAATTGAAACTTCTTAGCCTCCTCATTTTAGACATCAGTTATTGAATTAAGCAGTAATTTAGCAACGTGCTTTATAAAGAACCATGTAAGTGAAAGGCATTATTACTGTTATTATTTGCTTAGGGACTGTTGGAATTTGTAGGACTCATTGCCGTTAAACTAAATTTTGACAAATCTGCCTTTTTAATTCTTGGTTTTTATTTTCGGAGTGTTTATACTTCCTCTTTCTCAGTTGAGCAGCTGTATTTTTGGACTGCTCAAGCACAGACTTATTCGTAGATCTATTGTGTGATACAGGGAACTACATCTCCCAGGATCCCTTGCCCTTTGGTGTCTGTGGGAGACATCAAGATATCTCTCCCCTCCTTTCTCTGCTTTCTTTGGTATCTCTAGGAGGAGCTCTGTCTCTTCCATAGCTTCTGCTCCCACCTGACCTCCTTTCTCCATAGCAGCCTGTGCTGTTGTTCAGTTGGCCCCAGTCTGTGGGCTCTGATAACATCACTCCCTTCCATTATCCCTCCTGCCTAGGCAAGCTGGCTTCCAAGGTTTCTAGTCTCTGGCTGCCTCCCTGTTCCCTCTGTGGCTTCTCAGTCATTCCTTCACTGTGTAACCAGCTCCTTGGTGTGAGAGATCCAGAGTAGCTTGTTTTCTGGTTGTCTTTGACAACCATTTACTGAGGTTGCCTCATCTGGCAACTCTTTTTTTCCTAATTTGCTTCCTGCAGTCTCCTATGAGGACAGCAGCCAGGTTACCCGGTTATTCTGTTGGACATGAAAATGCACACTTGACTGAGCATTTGAGCAGAGGGATGGAGAGCCTGAGTGTTGGCATTAGAATGCTTGAGTCCCAATCTCTGGGCATGCTTCTTAACCTCTCCGAGACTCACTTTTTTCATCTAAAAAAAATGAATCTAATTACAGTACTTATGCTGTCTCCTAAGATCAACCCCTGTGGAGGGGAAGGGAAGGATTCAGGATTAGGCAGAGGGAGAAGCTGAGCTGTTTTCAGTCTTAAGAGAAGTTTAGTCCACCCCATGGGCAGCTCTAAAGCAGGGAGGGCCTTTGTTCACTGATTTTGACCATTGAGGGTAGCTGCCCCAGAAAGGTGCTTGACCTTGGGTGAAGCAGCTTTCTGGAGCTGAGGGCATTTTGCATTCTGCCTGTAGCACTTGCAAGCTCAGGGGAATAAGTTCATCAGCCCTAAAGTGGGGTCTGGTCATCGCATCAAAGAGTCCACAACACATCTCCAGGTGTACAGTTGTGAAAAATAAATAATTAACCCATGGGGCGTGTGTCACTTGGTGTCTAGTTCTTGGTGAATGCTCAACGATATCAGTTATCATTATTAATGGGTTTAGTATAGATGTTACAATAAATGGGCTTTATGATGTCTAGTTTAGCTATTTAGAGTTTTATTGACTTCCTGTCCTTGACCCTGCCCTAGAAAGTAGAGAAAAATTAGCATAGGTGGTCTGTGGATAAATACGGTTCTGTTGCTATTACATATAGATTATTAAGCACATATGTTTTTTTACATTAATGTATCTGTGGTATCTTTAAATACGGCTTACCCATAGGTTCTTATATCACTATTCTCCCCAGTATTCATGATATTTCACATCAACTTGGTTAAGCATTAATACAGTTTTCATTTTTGGAGCACTTATCATGTAGCCATAGTGCCAAGCATGCTTTATCTCATCAGTTCTCAAGATGCCCGTCTAAGGTGCTGCTATTCCCATTCATGGTGAGGACCTAAGGTCAGTGAGGTTGATCTGCCCGAGTTCCTCCCGCCAAGACATGGCCACTGTGTTCTCCTGCTGGGGCTGCAGCCCCATGCTCAGATGAGCCTACACTGTGAACTGCACATTTTAACAATTTAAACGGCAGTAGGGGAAACCTCCTCTGAAAATAACTCTAGCAAAGTGTAGGTGTTGTTTTGGTAGAAACATTTCAGCTGCTGCCATGAAAATCGTCTCCCAAATGGCTTTGTGAGAGCAAAGCTGCACACACTCCGCTTGTGTTTATGATGAGAGCCTTATGGCTCAGCCACAACACAAATGATTTGTTTTCCTGGCCTCGTTGGCAAAGCGATATCATTTCGGGAAAAGCCTAAACAAATGCATTTCTTTACGGCTGGATGTTAAAAGAATTGCCACAGGAAAAGTCAAAATGGGAAGCCAGATACATTTCCATTCACTGAATGGTGCAGTGAGGGAGGGGCACAAGGACAGAGATAGAAGTCCCTCAGAAGTTTCACTTCCCAGTGGCTGCCTCTCTGCTCTTCGCCAGGAAATGATTCTTAGAATCAACGAAAGCCCCACTAGCAAGGTGGGTGTTGAGATAAGTGAATGTTCATCATTGTTACTGGAGAACAGCAAATTAGGTCACTGTTTCTTTGTATCTAAATAAAGGTAATGCCTGCTTTTCTGTAGGAAAAAATAATTTTTTAAAACTGGGTTTATGGTACTAATGAGAAGTCTAGGAAGCTATAAGGTCAGGGATTCCTCAAAGTGTGTTCTGAGGAGCCCTATTTGTTAGATGTGTCAGTTAGGATTAGTGTTGACTGTTTATAACAGAAAAATGTAAAAAGGTAACAGCGACTTAAACAAGATGGGAGTTCATGGAAAAGAAAGTCAGTCAGGCACTTCATGATTTCACAGTATGGTCAGGAGCTCAGGTCTCTATCTTCCTGTCCCACATCCTGATCATGTAACTTACATTTTTCAGGATCACTCGGGAGCCATTTTACTTTAGGCCATCATGTGCAGTTCTAACAGAAAGGAGTTAGAGAGAAGAAAGGCGCCCTCTTCGTTGAAGCAGCTCCCTCAGTTTCTGCAGCCTTTCTGGGAGTTCCATATAACACTTCTGTTTGTATTTCATCGGCCAGTACTGGGTCACATGGTCATACACCTAGCTGCAAGAGAGCCCGGCAATGTAGTCTTTGGTTGAGCACACTTGAGGTTGTCTTACTGGCGAAGATGAGAATGGAAGATGGAGTGATAACCAGCAGTTGTGCTATGTTTGAGATTGTGAACTGTTGCCTTGATCTAAAATTTAGGCATGTTGAGTTAACAATAAAAGGTGACTTGGTATGTGTTATTTTAGTAATCCTCAGAGTCTTCAGTGGGCTCACATGCATCAGAATATACAGAGCTCCTGAGTGTGCTTCAATCTGGCCCTTTCACTGGAGGAAGTAATATTCAAAGAAGCACACCTTTTTCTTGTCATTCAGTAACTGTTGATCAACTCTCCTGTGCCATGCACTTTACCAGATCTTAGCAGTAGCTAGGAGCTAGAGCAACATTTCCCATATTTATTTATTACCTTCTTTTTCCTCCCATATGAAGCCTGTTCATACTTCAAGTAAGTTGTGTCTTAAGGGATCTAATTTGGTAAGTGTTAGCCTGGAGGTGCTCATCAGTTAGAGAAACCTTGCATGCCTAGCATAGGGATGAAAGATGAAAGTGTATGTATTATTATCTATTGCCTAATAAAATCCACCTCAAAATGATAAGTTTTTATTATTGCTCCCACATTTCTGGGTTGGCTGGGTGGTTCTTGTAGCCTTGGCTGGGTTCACTCTGACCACATACATCTGTGGTCACCTGTGGGTTGGGGGTTGTCTCTGGTGATCCTGGCTGGACATGCTCACTTGCTTGGGGGCAGCTGGCTGGTCTAGGATATTAGTTAGGACTCTGGAATTTTCTCTACATGATCTCTTTATCTTCCAGCAGTAGTCCAAGCTTCTCATGGTAAGCACATGGTTTAAGAGAAAGAGCAGAGATGCCTGAAGTCCCTTGAGGCTAGGGCTCAGAATTAGTACAGCCTAACTTCTGCCAGAGCAAGTCACGGAATCAGCCCAGAATAAGTTGGGGATACAATCTCAATCTTTTATTGAAAGGAGCTGGGAAGTGTGTGGGAAGCTAACATAGTAGAGAGTTGGAGCCATTTTAGCAATCAGTTTACTACACTGTTCTAGGGAGGAAAGTCTGATCTGTGTGGATGCCTACTCCTTTCTGTACCCTTTTCCTTCCCTCTTTCCACCCAACACTCCCAGTCAACATTTCTTCTCATTGTACATGTTGGCAGCTATGTTGGTGGGATTAAATCATTTGTTTTAACTCACCTCAATGTGTTGGAATCCCAAAAACTCAGGCATGAGCTGGTGGGTAAGAATTTTGAGCAGGTGGGCTTCATGATATTACTTGCTGCTCTTTGAGACAGTCATAGTGCCCCATTGCCCGTGTCCTTTATAGCTACCCTGCCAGGGAGTAAGACATGAGACAGAAATATGATCTGGTAGACTATCATTCAGCCACGCCCACTTACTTTTCCTCACTCTTGGTGAGTGTCTCCTAAACATATTCGACTAATAAAAACAATATGGACAAGAAGTCACA